ACAATCAATAATCATTGTTACAGGCAAACCTCCTATTTTCACAAGAATTTTGCCATCACTTGAAACATTTGAATCATGTCACATGCCAAATGCATATTCACAGTCATAACTCTGCTTATCTTCAGCTTTTACTTGCCTTATATGATGGTGTCCACCACTTTTTCTTCTACTATCTGGCCTACGCATTCCTCCAGCTCCTCGATCGGCCTCGGCCTCGGCCACAGTTTTGTTTCCTCTTTGTTTTTTACATATAGCCTCAAAATGTCTTGTCCAATGGCATTTTCTGCTCTGTTTCCCTCTAGCTGGGCATCGGTGATCGTTAGCTTAAGTTTATGTCCCACATTTCCACAACAAAAACACTAAACATTCCTTTTGCTCGGTCTCCTCTGTGATCCACCTTTCAACCCACACTATTAACCTCGTTACTTGCATTGCTTGCTCCTTCGATCAAACGGGTCTGTTTCTCAGATTCCATAGCACGGGCAATGTCTCTCAATTGTTGCAGAGTCAAGGCTCGACCCATTCTGAAGTAGATTTTGGACGAAGTTCGTGTGACAAACACTTACTAATAACTTGATCACGAATTTGCTCCTCCACAGCATTTGCATCTCCAAGTTCACAAGTTTGAGCTTTCTGTCTCAGTCTGGTCACAAACTGTTCGACGGTGTCGTTCGCCAACTGATTAGTTTCACGTAAACAAAGTCTTTCCTACGGAACATTCGCTTGTGGTTTGAAATATTTATTTAAGGTCGCCATCGCTTTCTGATAGTTATCCAACCCTCCTTCGTTTAACGTGTAATAAATATCTTGAACGTCTAATCCAGCAGTATGCAGCAATAACGCCTTCTTCCGTGATCGACAATTTCGGACTCCTTTTTCCGTAGCAAACAACTCAAAAGCTCGAAGCCATCTTTCTTAGCGTGCGTAGATAGCAGCAGTTTCGGAGCAGTCAAATGGCTTTAAAACCTGTGTATCGCGTAAATATACACTTGACATCTCGAAAAAAAGCTACTTACGGCCGTCCTCGTCGCCAAAATGTAGTGTATTTACGGATTTAACCTAGGATGATTCGGATTAATCACATACAGTAATCAACATCAATGCAAGAATCGAACACGTTGTTTAATCATCAGCATCCCAACACAACATGCTCCGATATACAAACAAAGGGGGTGGGTAGGATAGACCTGAACATTCACGAACACTACAAATACGTAAATTTTTGATGTGAGCGGTACTTTGTTTCAAAAGTGGTCAGTTGATCAATTACCATCATAATAGGAGTCTTTAGGTCCTGGCAATCGCACGACAGCCTTCCCATAACTGAAGACAGTCAAATGGAAGTTGTTTTAGATCCTTCTGTACCCTGAAATATTTGCAAATTACTTGATATTCTGAAT